ATAACCGCTTAGGCGAAACAATAGAGAACAAAAGGACTATTGTTCGGAGATTAAGTGAAAGGCACACAAAAATGAATATGTAATAGCCCACAAAAATATTGAATATATTAACCCACAAATATTCATGAGCACACAGATTTTTTCCACAAATCCCACAAAAAATCCGGCCCCAACTATGCAGCTAATACTACTGGAATGTAAAAAGGCTAGGATATATGCAGGGGGCTGTCTTAATATCCCTAGCTCTATCTTGTAATTGTATATATGCGCTTACAGTAAATTGAGCTAGAAAAATATTACTAATTAATACTCTCTAACACGGCAATCAACACAGATTAAAAGGTTTTTTTTCAATCAGCCTCTCTCCATCACAAAATGAAACACTTGCTAATCCCTTACTATCCCTTAAGAGATTTATCTTTGCGCTCCCACGAAGCATTTGCTGTCGAAGAATTTCTCGTTGATTTGGGTTGCCTGTGCCCCATTTCCGATCGTTCACCGCCCGCTTTCATTTGTCAAAACGATGGACGGTTTTAGTTCCTGTAGTTGTGGGAAAAGACGCGATAAAAAATCAACTGGGGAAGTGGATATCTTCCAAAACAGCAATGAATAGTTAACAACATCAACAACTTGGAAAATGTTATTAACGATTTTATGTTTGGGACTATAAGTGAATCTTTTTGGCAAATGTGCACAACTTTGAGACATGCATTTCGACCATTTTCCAAGCACGAAGAAACTATGCTTTCCACGATTTTAAAAGACAACACAACAACAAATACGTCTAATATGGAAATCTGACAATGAAACGACAAAGTTCAAAAACTTTGTTGTGTTTTGAGAATATAAATTACGGTTCCTCTTCACTTAGCGAGGAAGATGCTGGAGTTGACACTGAATCCTCCACCTCATTGTCTTCCGAAGAAGATGATTTTACTTCTCCTTGTCCTTTAAGAAAGACACAGAGCCATTTGGCACTACCAAAAGATATTCCAATTAATCCCGCAAGAAAATTCTCGGAGTTATTCAAAACTAACAGCAAAGAAAAGTTTATCACTTGCACCAACAAGGAAAAGTCAGGTAGAAAATTTCCAGCGAGAATGTCATTTTGGCAGCCGTTGGTCGCTACGGGAGCGACGGGATCTCTTAACGGAGGAACGAGGAAAAAGAAGATATTTCAAAGTGAACAAGGAGATAATTTAGAAGTGAAGGTAACTGTGCAATGTTCAAAAATTTCAGTAGCTTTCCAAACTTTTTGGTTGAAAAAAAAACTGGATGAGGTAAACCAACGCCCTACATTTTGAAAAAAAGCAGCATTTTTCGACCCATCGAAATAGAAATCTTTAAATGCCATTACAAAGTTGCCATAACCGTATTTTTATGTATCTTTTTGTTTGTTTTTGTTATTGAAAAGTGAGCAAAGATTCACTCCAAAATCCTAGGAAAATACGATTTTGTTACAGTGGGAGGGGAGGGATGTGTCGTTCTAGGCCGTGTCCATGACAAGGGACTGGGATGTGGGAGATTCCAATTTCCGTTCTGAGTTCGTGTATCAGCCATGTTGTTGTTCGGAGAGCTTTTTCCTTCATAATCAAACTTATCTCCATGTAACTCTCGCCTTAAAGCAACTCAACCATGATGGTGGCCTTTGAGGACCGATTCTGGGTAAGATATAACTTTAGTTTCCATAAAATGCAGTCGAACTTGAGCAAAGTAGTTGGAAAACTTTGCAGTAGTATCGCACTTTGCCGTGACGTGAAGCAAATGCCATCAATTTCGTTGAGCATTTCTTGTGTTTTTCTATCTTATAGGGCGAAAAAAATGCTGGCTACGATGTACTTTACCATAATATGAAATATGGCAATAATGCTAGCGTCAAAGTAACAGAATTTATTCGAGAAAGGTAAGGGAGAATTATACACAAGTTATCGTGTTTCGCTTGAAGAAACACAAACTTTGAAAACATCAATTGTGGGTATTAACGTTTAAGCTATATATATTTACAGATCCACAGTTGAAGAGAACTATTCGAAGTCCCTGATCAAGCTAGCGAAGTCTGCTTACTCGGTATCTCAACTAGGGTATGTATATCTTGATAATCAAGGTTTGAATTTGCAAGTCGCGTATGTTTCATTCCAAGTAGTGTACATTATTGATTCAATTTCGATATCCGAGTTTTTGTACAACTGAAAGAGACAATCTACCAGAACAAAATCACTGGGTATTGCTACACGAATTGCATAATATAATACCTTACAATTTTCATCTGTATTAAAACGATTTCGATGGGCTGTCACAGCTAATCAGGAATCGCACGGTTCAAGAATTCACTTGCAAACTTTTGTTTAGTCCTACCCTGCAAATGTTGTTATAAAATTCCAAAGTAACGACACATAGAGACGGATGCATTGAAGTAGCCAGTTGGGGTCCCTTGTTTTAAGCCTAAACTTCACCAATGGAAACCTCTATATTATAATTTTTTAATGTCTAGAAATTGAAATATCCATTCCACAATAAAAGCGAAACGTTTTGATCTCCCTGGTATTTCATTGTACCGACCGCTTCAATCTAATCCATTCTGTTGCTGTCTATATTTGTGTGTAAATCACAGTTTCTATAAATATTTTGCTACTTTGAATAAATGACATGTTTAGCATAAATCTATAATTAATCGCTAGAATATATCAGCTAATTGCGGACAAGAATGGAATCTATTTGCATGTGGCTACCTTTCAGATTAAACTAGTAGACATAGTACCTCCCACATACTGCAAAGTCAACTATACAATACATATAACCTTATTTTAGGCCCAGATGACTGAAATGAAATACTTTTGCTTGTTATTAAATGTTTTAATAAGTTTTTTTTTCACATTTTAATATTTGGCATTGAATACAATCTAGAATCCCATACTGGTCAACCAGATATCTATCTGTGGTTAGATAGGTCTTGATTAGCTTCTTTATTATTGGCATATCCTTCCAAAATAACTTGCAAACTTCACATATAMATGTTGCTTGAATTTAACAGATGATTTCTGCTTTAAACATGCACTTTTCATGGTCTAATGAAACCTTGTATATATTAGCTGCTTTTATTGTTATTATTTTGATTGATTGGATTACRACTAGGTCCTTTGAGCCACTCTGGGGTGTCCTGAGAGTTGCAACTGAAAGACTTGCAAATGCACATCATCTTGTAGTAGGGAAACTACATGAACTTGCTAAGGAGGTGAAGGAGTATGGAGACAAACAGAAGGAAAAGCATAAAGCCGTAAGTCAAGACAATTCTTTGTTTGCATAAGATTTTGACACGTTTACAGTTAAATGTGAGTGAAAGGTAAAGGAGTGAACAAGAGTGCATTCTGTAAAATTGCTTTCTTTTCATTCTATGCTAATATTGCATGTTATGCAAGGATATAAATATATTGAGTCATATACAGCTGTTTGCAATAATTCTGACCCCCTCTGCCATATTTCATATATATCAAACTGACCTTAAATATTATGGGATATCATGACTGATATATTTTTTRAGTTGCTCAGAATGAGTACTTTCTCAAAAAAATATCAGCATTGGTATCCCATAATTTCTAAGGCTACTTTGATATATATGAATATTAGTGTAGGGGGGTCAGAATTATTGCAAATAGCTGTATTRATATTGATGATAATATATAATGTTTACAGGCTAAAGAGGAATTCAGCAGTACGGCTGAAATTGTTCAAACAATACAAACTATGACAGCTTCTTTGACAAAGGTATGACATTGCTCTAAAACATCCTTGCACATTCAATGTTTTTTATTAAGTARCTCATTCATTTAATCTGCAAAACAATTTGTAAAAACAATTCCCCATAATGTACTAATTAATTCAATTTATTTTAATAGGAAATTCATGTTTTTATCAATAAAMAAAAACAAAACAATTTATTAAGTCCATGCAACATATTCATGTCTTTTATATTTKTTTGTTCGTTTTGGATTTTTTTCAATCATTTTCAATAGTATTTTTCTGTACACAGTAATATTATCATTGTTATAAACATCATTATCTTGATGTTAATGTTATGTCCATCAGGCAAAGGAAACGTACTATGCAAGATGTCATGAATATGAGAAACTTAAAAAAGAGGGGACAAGTGCAAAGGAAATTGAAAAGGTGCTATGTTACACAAWRAGRATTATAGCRATACTCAATGTGAYRTAAGMCTTTGTTAWTCATGTGCCAACCAGAAGACGATTGGCTGTTAGAAGAAAGCAACTTCTGAAAAGCCATTCTGATCATGKTTGGCACAGTARCATAWGAATGAGTTTGTTGATATACATGGAGTATCACTATAGTGTATTGAATACATGAATGACTTGAGCAATCCAGAAAAAATGAAATGATGGGAATGGTTGAGAAATGAATGAATGGAAGGATAAAAGAATGAGAAAAGAAATTCATGGATTAATTAAAAAGATATGAATTTTCCAATGAATAAACAAATAGATGGAGGAATRGTTTAATCAATAAATAAAAGATATGACAACTAAATGAATAACATTTTATTTATCACATTTTTCACTCACTTAGGCTGAAGCCAAAATGAGAAAAGCTGGTAAGTCTAAAATATACATTTTTGAATTGTAAAATTACTTTAGTAAACATAACAGCTAATATGTTAAGTTATTTCTTGACAGGTGAAGAATACAAGTCGCTTGTAGAAAARAGAGAGATTATCAGGAACGAATTTCATGACAAAATGGTCGAAACATCTAGGGTAAGTCCAATATTCAAGCTGTTTAAAAATATTGAGGACACCATTGAGATAATATTGCCTTATTTGAAAAGTAGACCAGATATTATACCAGTATATCAAAAAATCCAAGAGATATTTTCACAGTAGATTATTTATAGATTTTTAGTATTTTAAAAAGTAAAATAATTGGCACTTATAATTACATTGGAAAAGTGTTCCTGATGCTTTTTCTTACACTCTGTCGTTACTTTTTAGAATTATTAGTGATAAATCATGTCTGTACTTTGAACAGAGATTCCAACAAATAGAAGAAGAGCATCTGAAGACAATCATTGGTCATATGGATGTGTATATTGATTCTCACCTGGCTGGCTGGAAGATGATGGAAGAGGTGATTATCTGATTGATTGATTGATTGATTGATTGATTGATTGATTGATTGATTGATTGATTGATTGATTGATTGATTGATTGATTGATTGATTGATTGAACTAATGATTGATTGAATGTAAAACTTTTTTTAAAT